AGTAGTGCTGTCCTCATATTTAAATCTATTAGAAGTTTGACATAATAGCAAGCCAGCTTGCAGCCTGGAGAGCAATGGTAAGAAAGCATTCAGCAATGGGCTCTGCAGGAATGTATATTGATGTGACAAGGGAGGTATACTGACAGGGGTTATAGTTTTGCTGAAGGGAGAGAAGGCAAGAATCCAGACTGATTCTTTTGTGTGACAGCTATGGTCACCTAGTGCCCTGCTACCTTGCGTAAGTAGGATATCAGCAGGGAACCGCTGTGAAGGTTGAAAATTTGAAACTAATGTTTCCAATTTACATAGATATAGCCACACGTAGCATTGTTTTCAAAGTGGATAAAAATATTCACTACGACAAGAACAGAACTTGTCCAAAAAAAAAAAAATTAAAAAAGTGATCGAAATCATGTCAATATGATTCATTTATTTGGTTTTATAATGACAAGAATATCTGCTGTAGGCAGAAGGATTATTGCAGAAATAATTCATTTGCTCTTAATTTCTTTTATTTTATGACTTATTCAACCCAGCAGAAAAAAATACCATGAATGAAAACTTCTTAAGAAAATGTTACCTCAGCTAATGCAAAGGTAGTTGTAGCTCTCCAGTCAGAGAAGTCTAAATCAATTGCCCTCTGCAGCTTTGGGCATCCAGATCAAACCTTATAAGGGTGCAGGGATCAAATTGCCAGACAGTGTCTGTGCTCACAAATGTGTTTCATTTTCCTTATCTGTGAAAGGATGCTACTCCCCACAATAATCACAGGGCAAACAGTCCTCGCAAACAATAGCATGCTTACTTCTGTGGGTTTACCTGTTTTGAAAAAGCATCTGGACTAGTAACTCTCTGAGTGCTGTGCTGGGAAGCAGAGCAGAGATGCTGCTGCATAGCTTGAGTTAAGCCCTGAGGAGATGAAAATAGAAAGGCTGATTGCTGGTTGTCTCATCAGCGCTTGTGAAAAGCAGCTGACAGTGTTCATGTTTGGAGGATGAGAGGAAATTGGAAATCCATTCCATTTCCCCCCGTGTTTCAGTCATAAGAATATATATGACTACAATTCAGAAAATATAGGGAGGCTAAGATATTTAACACAAACTCAGTGATGTCCATTGTCACATATTAGCAGAATAGTAAACTGGTTGAGAAAAAAATAGCTCCTTTTCTTCAAACTTGGTCTGTGATAATGGGAAATAGGACTTATGCTAGATGAGGTAACCCTGGGCTTTTTCCCTTTCTGCCTTATTTTTGTTTGTGACTGAATTCTGAAATTTGGATTTGGCATCATGAATGTCAGCCACCAGACTGGGACTTGGACTACAAGCAGCTTGCAGAGCATCAGTGACCGTTTTAACTGTGATAAACACCACAAAACCACAACAAAGGCAGTTCTTTCTCTCTTAATAGCAAAAAGAGTTGTTGCTAGTCTGACACCCACATGCTTTTTCCTCCCTCACTGTTTCTGTCATCACACTATAAACCCCTTTACAGAGCTTCAGATCAACTGTTGCACAAGATACCCAGCATGTTTCAAGGCCAGATTGTCACACGCATGGACACTCATCAGGGAAGGCAGTTTGGGTAATGGATATTGGGCACCTCCAGAAATCTGTGGTAAAGACACACAAAAAGGTGGGTTAGGAGAAAGTGCTGTGTGTGGTGCTACTTGCTATTCAGCAGGATGAAAGAAGGATAGTAGGTGGAAAGTGCTTGATTCTGACAACGAAAGAATAGTATGTGCTTCTTTTTTTAAATGAAATTTCAAATTTACATTGAATCAGCTCTTGGTCTTGTGATTCGGTCACTGACATGCACACTGTCATCTGGACTTCAGTATCGTGCTGTTGCCCAGCATTAGAAATATCAGGTTTCTTATTATTTATAAGGCACTAAGGATGCCCAGTTCCTAGACAATCTTAGATATAGATATAGTTATAGATATAGATACAGATATAGATATAGGTATAGATATAGATATAGATACATCTTAACAGCAAAAAGAGATACTGAAAGATATTCTAACAGGATCTTATGTCTCTAATAATCCTCCCATAGCTGCTGGTAGAGCTGGACAGGCCCCTTAGAGCACTTTTCAGCTCAGTCAGCCTGCAGCCAGGATGCCAGGGAACCCCTAAGAGACCAGAGGACTTCTCTTTGCTTCCTTGATTTTACTGAAAGTAGAGCAAAGCTCCTATATGAGCTTCAACACATATGAACGTTTTTTCTCTGATTCCAGTGCTTTTTCTTCACATTTAGTTGAAGACAAAACTTATCAGACAGATTTGAGGAAGTTGAAGAGAGAATAAAAAAATATTTGGGGCCAGAAGGAGACAAAGAAACATTAGGTGACAATCTGTGTTCCAATGAAGGGAAGTTTTAAATAAGCTGCTCTCAGAGAACTCAAAATACACTTTCTCTTGTGTTTGCAGATTTGCTCTGCTTTGCCTTCAGAGTGTACGTGGCAATTTTTCAAACCAAACATATTGGTGTGGGGGGGAAACCAATAACTATTTTTTGGCTGGTAAAAAACCAAAACAGCAGAGAAACTACCTCCTTTCAAGAAGGTCTTGGAAAAATGGCTCAATTTACATAATCTTTTTGACTCGCTTATGTTTCTGCTTGAGTCTACAGTTTGAAAGGCAAAAACATTGTGACAAATAATGAAGTAATCATGCAATTAGGACTCAATTACTCATGCTGTTAGAGTGATCTTTTGCTTATTTTTCCCCCACATAGGAAAAAATAAATATTGTGTCTTTTTCTCCCCTCTGGCGCTCATTTCCAGCTTGAATTATGTGAAATCCAGAAAGTTAGTGCTCGTGGTTTTACCTTCATAGGGTTATCCATACCAGGGTTATCTAGGCCATGGTCTGTCACGAAGCAGTCAGGATACACGGTACATTTTGCCTTCAGAATATGGATAAGGGAGCAGTGGGGAGATGCAGAGGGGTTGAACAGTGGCTTTTTTCTCCTCTTCAAAATTCAAAGCAGTCTAATGGGGCAGGGAGCAGGGATAGACAAATTGTCATTTTTGAACTCCGTGTGCCCCTGTGGCAGCTGTCAGGTTCAGTCTGTGCCAGGTGGTTATCATTTGGCCTGTATTGGCGCAAGAAGCTGGGTAACCAGCACTTCTGGGTGTGGGAAGAAGCAACCAGCAGATGTTGCCAGGTTCGCCTTGACAGAGAGAGTCACTTTGGGATACTCTGGCACTCTTCAGTCATCACTGTCTCCCTGCTGTGACCTACACTCTGCATCTCCCCCAGCTTTTCGCTCTTACACCACGTGTGAAATGCAACATGTATACAAATATATCTCATGCCATATGAAGATACTAGTCATTGATTTGCAAGGTCAGAAATTTTGGGCAAGGCCTTGTCAAACGGAGAAACAGGAAATCCTGTCTCAAAAGTGCCATGTAGTGCCATCTTAAAGTAAAGCTTTGTGAGTCCATGAGACCAGGTTGAAAGGAATCTGTTGAACACTCAGCGCATTGCCAGATGTCCCAGTCTTAAATAACTTCCCATAAGAGAGACTTGGATCATGTTTCCCATGTGGAAAACATTCAGTACATGGGTTTTCCTGTACTTTTATGGAGAACTGGACATTTTTTTTCCAGGTGTTTAGAGCATAGATGTAGCAGTTAATGTGAATGCCAGCTAAACCATGCAGCTGTTTAGTCTGGTGGCTGCGGAGCAAAGACTCACACATGCCCAATGCACAGTCAGTTTATACCTGTTTGTCTAGGACTGTGACAGAGCTTGCTACTTCAAATCTTGTCTATTTTTCACTGTGGAGTCCCAGGCACATCTATGCTGAGTGTCTCATAAATGGCCTCAGCTGGTAATGGTCTGCACCACAATGGTCTGCCATCTCAAGCCTGTGTTTAAGAGGCTTCTAACAAGGACCTTCTTTCAGTCTGTCTGAAATTCAGAATGCAATCCTCTTCAGGGTGAATCTGAGACTTCTCTCAGCAGTCAATTGCATTTTTCATCTTGAGCTCTTTGCTGCTGGAAGTGCTTCATCTGTCTACTTTTCACACAAGCACTGCCACTGATTTGATTCTGAGTGGATAGAACTGGAACTGAGGTGCCAGAATAATCTATTTCTCTCGTGACACGCACAGCATTTTAAAATTAAGCAATGGCTGACTTATATTTGCACTTAAATTAGACTGTAATAGCACTATTCTTAGGGGACTGTAATAAGAACTGGAGAATGACACTAAATCAATGGACTTCTAAAGAAGAAGAAAAAGAATTAAAGGAACTGAACTAAAACTCAGATGATAAGCCCAATGGACTTCATTCAAACCTGTTAAAATAGACTTTCCATGAAATAATGTTATCAAGAAACAGATTTATCTTCAGGTTTTTAAAAGTATCTCATATATGAACAGAGAAGCAAAATAGAAAGCCATTGTTTGTTAATTGAAAAAAAAACAGAAGAAGAGGAAAAGAAAACATGTTATTCAAACCCCGTAGAGCATGAGATTAGCATGTAGTTTTCTTTTTAGTTTGGTCAAGTATTCATATTTCATTCTCTTCCAACACAGTGCATTTCTCACTTTATATTTGATCTGAATTGCTCTTTTAGCTGTATGATCTGTGCATGTTGAGGTCTATTCAGCAAAACATCCAGGATCCTGGCTCAGTTTGCTTTCCATCAACATTAATTTTCTCAGTTTCCACCCCTTACAAGACAGTGGAAAGAAGGCAGAGTCTCTTCAGACATAACAGCAGAAGCTATGCCCAATAACCTTTCCAGAGGGACAAGGATAAATCCTCATTATTCCAGATGAGTTAATGAGGACTCTGCATGAAATCAGTCAGACTGCTCATTACAAGCCTCTATTACTCTGCTTTCTCTGCCTGAATTTTACACCTTTATATTCCCCCTTAATCACTTGCTTCCAAGGGTGCTGGCCTGCTGTTTTCTGGTTGTTTTTTCAAAACAAGCTTCCTGTCTTTGTATAATAATGGTTTTCTGTCTCTTTGCAGTGACGGTTGGGCAGACAGAGATGAAGTCATTGAAGGTTACGAACCCGAAGCAAATGGAGGCATTACTATCAAACTGCAGTCTCCTGAGGTCTTGGCATTTGATGACTACTATCTGAAGCTGCGTCTGGACACCAACACCCGCAATCCTTGGTTTCCTGAGTTCTGGCAGCACAGATTTCAGTGTCGTATCCCAGGGCACCCACTAGAGAATCCCAACTTCCAGAAGAACTGCACTGGTAACCTGTCAATTATTTTTCTGTTTTTGAATCTGTGCTCTGGCAAAAAATTTTCTATGGTTTTGGTTTTTTGGGGCGTTCTGTGGGATTTTGTGTGTGTGTGTTCTTGTTTTGTATTTTTATGGTATTTGGTTTGGGTTTTGGGTAGTTTTCTTTTTTTTGTTTGGTTTTGGTTTTGGTTTGGTTTGGTTTGTGTGTGTGTGTGTGTGTTGGTTTTGGTTTTTGTAAGGTATAAAAAATGGTAAAAAGCGTAATCTCAAATTGTACAGGTATTAATCTCAACTCCCCAAAGTATGTCTGGTATTGGTCGTACAGCCTCCACTCAATTTAGTTCTTCTCTATTATAGAGTGACTTGTTCCCTTTTCATACTTTAGGGCTATGCTAAGTCTGAGAAGGTTGTCCAAGTTTATAATAGAGCTTGTAAAAAAAGTAATCATAAATTTTACAAAAATAGGAAGAAATTTATACTTTTTTTTCCTAAAACTCAGCTTTTCTGATCAACTTAATAATGAGGAATTTCATAGAAAATATTATGACATAAAAAATATTTTAAGAAAAATTGATGAGTCTTATATTTGGCCAGTCATCTGCTTCACCCTTTCTTTTCTTACCCATTAAAACATTTATAGTTTGTTTCCACTATTTAGCACTCATATAAAAAACCACACTCTTCTACAGATGAAGGTAACTCTTACCTCATAGAAAGGGAAGAGTACTTGTGTATAGATAGGTTTTCTCTTGCATTCAGAATCTGAGAAAAGAAAACAAAATGTTTCAGTAAGATTAAATTTATTAGCAGATTGAGTGAGAGGTGATTACATTTCTGTAAAATACATGCTAAATAATTTTTGTAAATATTTTTTTTGTAGTTTACAAATACATCCTTTCTAGCCAAAATGTATACTTGTAGTAAGGAAGTTACTTCATTAGAAACAACCTAGTGAAGCCTGACTTCCCATGGATTTCTGTCCTATTCTTTACACCTCCACCTCCTTTATCCCCTAGCAGTAATCTCAGTTGGTCTTCATGTGCTCCCTGAGATGCATTCTCATAGTTTCCAGCTCTTCCTTCTCCATCAGTAATACTTTCTAACAAGAGCTTCCACAGTATCTTTTGTTTCTCCCAAGTTCTCTTATTCACAGCTGAGACACATCACCAAATACTGTCACCGACTTAAGCTCTAACAAAATGTTGATTTATGGTATATACATTTAATTGGCTTTGAGACTGCTTCAGCTCAGACAAAGGAGCTAACATGGGTCAACAAGGGCAAAAATTGCTAAGGAGAGTTGAGTGATTGATGCAGTGTAAATGCACAGCCCTCTTTTGTAAGAAAAGAAGATTAAAATTACACTGTTCTGTTCATTCCATTTACACAAATAAATTTCAGGCTAATATTCTATAAAAAGGTCTAATTTTGAGGCATCTCAGCAGCTGTTGTAAACATGGGTAGTTTTTTATCCAGCCTCTGTTTGGTTACAAAACTAAAAAATTGAGTCTGAACCAGCATAGTTATCCTTCATCTGTTGTATCAAAGGCAAGTACCAGCTGGTGAGTTCAAAACAGCCAAGATGAGATACTTCTGCACAGAATGTGTAGGTGAGTTTTCACACAGTGATTGCCATACAGTCCAAAACTGTACTTAAGCAAAAAACAATTAAACAAATTCATGGAAGAAAACCAGTAAACGTTGTTTTATTAAAAAAACACACAAAAAATCAACAAAAACCAAACCAAACCAAAACCAAACAAACACACAAAACAAACAAAAACAAACAAAAAAACCAACTGAAACTTTCTCAGGATAACCCAGGGTGGAAGCCGGTGGACATTGGAGAGGGTTTGAAGAGATATCATTCTGTGCCTGCTCCATATTCTGGGCTTCTCAAGGTGTCAGGTATCAGAGACATGAACCACTACATTCTGATAGTACTGATGAAACACAAAATCATTTGTCCACGTTGGTAGACTCTGAAAGTTAATAGAGTCAATTTGGGAATTCAGATATCTTTCCCTCCTCTAAAACCCCTACATTTTTGTGTGAAATCTCAATATGTGTGATACTTAGGCTTTGCTGAAAAGCAATCAGCTTTTAAATTTCACAGTGTACCACTGATAATGCTCAGGCTTATCACACAGAGCTAACAAGTCCATAAATATCTCAAATCAGCAAAGAGCAGCATCACAAGGTATCTATTCCCACTAATGGCATACCTACAGAATTAAGAGATTGATTTTAAGGCAGTACTGCTCAAGTTCATCTTCCGTGTCTGGAAAGTTAACATCTCAGGAAACTATGTAATGAAAAAGAAGGCCTAAGACAAAAATTCTTGTGATATCTAGGGAAGCATAGTATAATGGTAGTTGCCAAGCTGGGGGTTGCCTAGAAGCACCCAGAAAAAAAATAGGAGAGGCAGCACTGTTCTGTGACTACTTTATTAAGAAAAGATTCAGAATACTCAAACCTATCCATTTTGAAAAGGAGTTTAACTACAAAGTTTGTATTGGAGAATCTTCAGTTACTGTCTGTCCATTATAATTTGCTCACATACAGTCTAATTACTTTACTGAGTTTCTTCAGAATTGCCACTGACATGTGAAGTTCAATTTTTATCATTTGTGGATAGGCAAGGACTTCTCAAGCAATTACAGCTGCTGGATTTCCAATTTTTCACACCCTGTTATTGTTGAGTCAGCAGTAGCTTGGGATTCTAGGCTCACTATAAAGCAAAGGAAAACTCGTCCCTAGAAATCTCTCTTCTCTGATGACAGGAATTCCCTCATTCAGTCCCTGAGAAGACTGATGTTGTCCTTCAGAAATTCTCATGTAACACTGAGCTCTGAATGTACATGTTCTGAATGTATATGCATATTATGAAAGAAAAAGGTCTAAGCACTATTGGAAGGAAGAAAGTCCAAGTGCATTCTGCTCTATGAAGTCTGTATGATGCCCAAGAGTTGGCCACATTTTCAGAACAGCTTATCTGGATGTACTAGGACTATGTAGTAGTAGCATAAATTCTTGGGAAGAGAAGAAAACCATCAAGAGTTTTGCAGTGACTGCTCCTTTGGATCATCTTTTCTTGCAAAAATTCAACGACATACTTTTCCCAGTTGGGTGGAAGTAAATGAGTGGGAACAATTTTTGACGCATTCTTTACAATGTGATAGCCAAATGCCTCTCATAAGGGAATACCTCTTTCCCTGTCCCCCTTTCTTTCCCTCCCTCTTTCTCTCTCTATCTGCTATAGGAGATATTCTTCCTCAACATAATAGGATTCAAGTATAGAAATTTTGTTATATGTTTTCTTGGATCTCGCTGGGATGGAGTTAACTTTCTCCATAGAAGCTCTCATAGCGCTGTGCTTTGTATTGGTAGCTAAAAAGGTAACACACCAGTTTTTGGGCACTGCTGAGCAGCGTTCACACAGCACTGAGGATCTCTCCAACCCCTTATGCCCACCCTTAAAGGTTGGTAGGCTGGGAGTGGGTAAGAGGCTGGGAGGTGGCATGGCCAGGACAATTGACCCAAACTTACTGAAGGTTTCATATGTATGATATCATGGCTAGCAACAAAAGATGAGAGAAAGGATGAGGAGATGGGGGGAGCATTCATTATTAAGGCATTTGTTTTCCAAAGCAAGTGCTACATACTGAGACTACCTTTCCCAGGAAGTAACTGGACATTATCTGTTGACAGGGGCAGAGAATATATTCTCCTTTGCTTCCATATATTGTCTTCGCTTTTCTTTATCAAATTACCTTTATCTTGACCCATGAGTTTTTAATTTTATTTTCTCTTCTCTGTCCTGTTGAGGAGGGGGAGTGAGTGGCTTGGTGGGTACCTACTAACCAGTCAAAGTCAACCCATCACAGTAGAAAAGACATATTTTTATATGGCAATTCTCCTAGAGTTTCCTTAATATCTAGCAGACCAAAACCACTTTCTTTACAGAATTGTTCTTAAACTGCCCATGCCATTAAGGTATTTTCAGTGTGTTCCATGAGGTAGTTACAGCCTATAGGAAACAAAGCATGTCCTGCAACTCTGCATGGACACCTGACTCACTGCGAAATTCAGAACTTCATACCATTTTTCATGCCTTTCAGATTAAAAGTCAGAACAGAGCAGACCATTTTTACACTAACCAAAAAAAAAAAAAAAAAAAGGCAGTTTCTGAATTTGAGGTACTAAGAAGCTATCTTACTCAGGACAGACCTGACACTAAGTTCCCTTAGCACACAACCTCAGGTACCGCCCCAGGTAACAGCCACTGCTTGCCTCAGTTCAACAGACAACTCAGCCTTTTTCACATTTTGGAGGTTGCACACGGGCAGCAAGGTTACATGATGGATTGTGTATCTCAGGCAACAGAGTTCATATACCTTTCCAACAGTTCTGTAGGATGTTTTCTCCTCTGTGATCTGATAGAAATAGCCCAGATAGAAATATTTTTTCCCCCACAAAAGCACAGTGACAAATATATCTCTGTTGGACTTGATGAGCCTACATAGGCCAGAATTAAATGCAAGTCACAGTCACACAGAAATGGTGCAGAACTCAGTGCAATGCAAACACCTGTACAGAGGTCTAACTGCTCTTTTATAGAATACCTTATTCTCCTCCTGGCAGATAATACAATGGTTGTAGTTTATGTAAACCGGGTGGGATGAGTCCTCCTCTGCACCATAAGGGACAGTTATGAAATTGGTAACAGGACTGATGCAATTATCAGATTATGATCACAGAAGTTCATCTGCTGGGACAACAAAATATATTGACAGGCAATCAGCACAGACATTTTTCAATAGAGCAAGGTGGAACAAAGTGGGCAATTCATAATTCATTCGTCGATTCAATTGATCTTTGAGAAGAAGGATTATTTGTCAGTGAATGTATTTGTTGCAGGTAAGAACAAGAAATGTAGATATTTTTTGTTCCAAAGGAGGTCACAGACCAAGTTCCCTTTAGGATGCTTACTCATACCTTGGTATGCCA